CTGAAATTTAATGATTATGTACTAAGAATAATATCTTAATTATGCGTACCCTAAAATGGAATAAATTGTAGATCCTCATAATTAAGTTATAATCTCATATAAATGAATATATCTGAGTAATATAAATGCATTTAAATACAAAAAATTATTTTATAAATTTAAATATTTATGAACACAGTAAAGCTAGAATTTTAAATCTATTTATTATAAAGCTTAACAAAATTCCATGAAAAAGACACTTTAATACCAATATATTTTTAAAACAATAATTATAATCTTATTAAAGTGTCATAATTATAGTATTATATTACATTATATAACATACATAATATATATACATCATAATTTACAGTTGAGCATATTCAATACAATCAATTTAATACTTTTTTAACACTTAAAATTGTCTAATCCTCTAATAAATATTCAAAGGTATATAATGATTAATGTTTTTCTATTGCTGAATTTACAAGAACGCTGAGATATATTGGAATTATGGCGGTTATTTAACTTAATAAGTTTTGCATATTCCTATAATCCCATATTCCACCCACATTTAATTTATATAAAGGGCTATCTTGATTTTCGTTTGCATAATTTTTTAATTACTTATAGAATTTATTTCCTTTACTTCATATGTGTGTAAAAATAATTTCATGTGAAACTTCATTTCAGTAGTTTTTACTATATACTAAAGCAAATTATATTTATATGGTAGAGATAGGAATTAAAAAGCTATCATAAAACTTACATATGTATTAATCTGTTTTTTTATATTAATCCTATTCTGAATGGGATTGATGCTTCTTTGACACGGTACATCAATATACTTATTGTAAAATTAACTAATATAAAAATAGGAGTACATATATATGAATGCATTACAACTATCATAAAGAATATTATTGCATAATTTGTAAAATACAGGAAATCACACAATTAAATGCCGGAAAGGAATTTTAAGATAATTTCATTTTCTCAATTTTAGAGGAAGTGTTATTAGTGCAGGTTATCCAGATATTTTGTAATAACGATTAATAAATTTGATAAGTATTAATACAATTAATGAAATAATTTTTGCATTGATTCATATATGATAAGTTATTTTCTGTTTAAAATATTATTAAGTCATTAACAGAATTAGGGAGAGTATGAACAATCTTAATGGATAGATATATAAGAAATTTAATGAAAATATTCATAGTTACAATTTTTTATATAAAATACTTGTATATAACATATGAAATGAGAGAATAGAAATTTATATAATTAATGAAATAATTTTCAGCATTAAGGCTCTAAAAATTATGTATTAAATTTAACAAATATAAATAAAAATATATAATGTAATTTATCTATTTCTAAAACTATGTATTCAAAAGGTGATAAACATATTGTAGTAAAATATTAATAAAATGATATATTAATTAGAGAGTAATTAATTCTAAGTTATTCAGAACAGGCTATTTATCCTATATTTATCTAACTATTATAAGTGATAAATACCATTTGACAGATTATTTATATGCAATGAATAAATTAAGTTATATATGAAAGAGAAATCTAGAAGAAATGTAAAAATGCTATTGCCAATACAACAAATAAAAGGGTAAAAAAAATCATTCAGTTAATATAAGATATTATTTTATAAATCTAAATATATATCAGCGTTATATAAAATATTCGTTAACTATAAAATATATTGACTTGTACAAGGATTTACATTTTTACAATCATGTTGCCCTATAATTTTACGCCTCGTATAAAGATTACAATGAAGAAATGCTGAATTAAAAGAGATATAATACACACTCATAAAAAAAATAATATAAAAATAGAGTTATCTTTTTTATAAAAAACCATATTACAAATTTATTTGCAGAGTATATCGTGTTAATATTTTATATATATCTTCTAAAACTAACTTAGATAACTTAAATGCTATTAATTTGTATACAAGATTAAAAAACAAATAATTCATTTTAAAGATATATCGATTTTATTTTGTCTTAAGCATTAATTAGGATATTGACTTACAAATAAATTTCGTAATAATATATAAATATATACATTATTTGTTATATAATATTTACATAGTCTTTATATGACTCATTATATAATGCAAATTTATTTCGTGCTTCATGATAATGTTGTTTAGGAACACGATATTTTATTTGACATAGAAAAACATCTACAACACGATTTACTAATGAGATTCTTTATAAAAAAAAATATTACACCTAAAGTAAGTAATAAAGGATCTAAAGTAGACAATATATATAACATTGTATATATTTGGTGCCTTATTATTATAATAAAAAAAGTACATATATCTAACTGAATTTATAGAGAACTAGTATCATATCATTTTCTAGTGACATTTAAATGAAAGCTTTATAAATCCTTTGTTACATATTTTTGTATACATTGATCATAACACATATCTCTAATTTATATTTTAGCAATAATTTATTTCTATAACTGACATTATCTTATATTGGAAGTTTTATAATTTTAATGAATAAACATTTAAAAATCCCTTATTTTAATCTTTGCGATATCAATTATTTTTAGCTCTACGTATGTAAATAAGGATAGATGCAAATATATTTAGCAGCAGTAATAAATATACTCGTTTTCTAAATATTCTAATGGAATGATAAGGAACACTAATTTATAATACTGTTAAGAATTATATTTCATGCTTCCACTAATGTGATAATATAATACCATGATATTATAATATTAAATTCCCGATAATTTATTATTATTCTCATATAAAAAATATATTTTACAAAATTATTTTTTTAATAGAATAAAAAAAATGCAATGAATAAAAAGAAAAAATGTATTTTGAATTAGCAGTATAACAGTTTTCATCTTTCAAAGTAAATAATATCATATAAATTGAGTAGTTTTTAAATGTTTAGAATAATATAATATATAAGAACAAAATATATATAAAAATAATGAAAACACTATTATTATACTTCTGAAAATATTTCTGAATTATATAAATATATAAGAACAAAATAAAAAAAGATCATAAGGAATGTTATGAAATATCATATATACAATATTTTTAATAAGGAATGAGTAATAAGGTTATTTCTTGAAATGATATAATATATCTATATGCCTTAGCAATAATATTTTTCATGATAAATATATTGCTAAAATAATATAGGAAATAAATGTTTCCAATAATAAATGTATGGGGTATATGATGGAATTACATGATTCAGGATAAGTTAAAATATATTGAATATTATTCTGAAAGGTATCCATAAAACAAAAGTGCAAAAGATAAAGATATAATTCAAATGATAATGAAGGTAATATACTATGCCAAAAATGTTTATAAATTATTTTTAAATCTAATAAAACAACAATCTTAGTATCATTAGATACAAGTGATTATTCGTCTAATAATCTTGTACTAATACTTATTTCAGCAGGATTTTTATTTAACTATATATATGTATCAAATATGGAAATATAACAAAATAAATATTTTCGATATTAAAAATCAAACATATTACATGAATGTAATTCAAGTATAAAATTGCGATTATATTAAATTAATTAATATTGATCTCAAAATAACCTACTTGGGTGTTAAGCTGGTTCTAAAAAAATTTTATAGTTTTATATTGTTTTATAGATTTGTAGTTAAAATTGATACTTATAAAGAAGCCACTAATGCAGTAAAATATAATTGTACTCTTTATAACCCTGCAGATAAATATAATTCACGTGTTCATATGATAAATTCGTACTGTACATCTTATAATTTCGCGCATGCCAATCTTGTTAAATGTAGTTCTGAATATTTACTACATACATCTAATGATAGAAAATCAAATGTCGAAGATTCCTGTGATCATAATTTGGTGTATCACATACTGATAATGAAGTAGGAAAAAGAAAAACATTATAAAAAAATTAATTATTTTTAATTATAATTATTTTTTTTTATAATAAACCAAAAAATTTGAATTTACATATAAGAGTTATACATTAGATTTTTAATTGGGGAATGAGATAAGCATTCTTAAAAAAAATAATTTTTGAGATGCATTTAAATAAAAAAAAGTTCCAAAATATTCGTTTATATAATCGATGATATAGTTGTTATCCAATTACATATTTCTTTCTCATAACAGTCTATGAAAAATTTAGTAAAAATAAATGAAAAACAATTTTAAAATTATACTCTGTGTATTAAAAGCGTTAATTGAAATAAAAATATTCATAACATTATGATTCATAATATTTTTTTTAAAAAAACTATTTTAAATATTATATCATATCATTAATGTTATTTATAATATATAACAATGTAGAAAGATAATTGAAATTAATGAATTCGTAAATATAAAAAATATTAATATATTTAAGATATATAAAGTATAGGAAATTCAATCAAAGTTTAGTATATAAAATATTCATAATACATGCAAGTTTAGAATTAATGAATTATTAAATAAGGGGTAATTATAATAGTAAATATTCATATTATTGTATAAAATAAAAATATTTTAATCATAACAATAAAACATGTAATTATATATTGTATGATATTATTTTACATATCATTATTAAATTTATATAGATATAATATTACAAAAAAATTCTAAAAACATATATTGTCTATAAAATAAATACAATTATAATATATGTATATTTATGGTAATATGAATATATATTATAAATAATAAGCATGTTAAATATTAATATTTTGTAATAATATATATTAATGTTTGAACAAGGACTATACTATATCATTAATATGCATTATTCATTTTTATGAAATACGATGCAAATATACTCACAAATTATATATTGAAAACCATCGGATATAAATAATTAAATGATAAAACGTTGAAATATAATGTAAAATCTAAATAAAATTGAATACTTATAAACTATTAATCCTATGGTGTTAAAGAATATATTACATAGCATATATTTTAAAAGCCTAATCCCGCCTTATACATTTTTTAGAAGTATCGTAATGGGTTGTATGGTATTTGAGAACTTTTATTAATTAATTCTTCATTATCATTTTCAAATGAATTTAATAATTTTATATACTTTTTATTTTTTCTTTTCCACATTCTCTTTATTATACTTGTTATCGGATGTAAAGAAGATACATATGAAGTATACTGATATTATAGGGAAAATTTTTATATATGCATTTATATGTGTATTATATATTTTATATAATTTTTCCATAATCATTTGTATTGTAAACTGTAATACAAATATACTTAGATTAATTTTATTTTTAACCTTATAAAGAAAGAATGTAATCATTAATGTAGTTAATAAAATAATAAAAAAGACTAAAATTATAGTGCGTGGATTAATTCTAGATGCATGATGTGAAACTACGGGAGTCTCTACTTTTGATGTAACTTGTATCATATTTCCCTTATCTATATGTTCTCTATTTTCTATATAATCTTTTTTAAAATTACTTAGCAATTCATAAAGGCTGTGGTTATCTACGCCATTATGCTTTCTTGATAGTTCCATGTACTTCTCATAACATTCACTATTAGATGTGCATTTATTATTTTCCTTTTTTAACATATCATATAGGTTATCCAGTGTTTCCAATATTTTAAATGTGCTTTCATCAAGATCATCAACATGATTTTTACATATATCCTGAACCTTCTTATAAATTTCTGAATCCGTGTTTCTAATCATAGAACTGTAAGCAACATTAGTGTTTTGGGTAGAGTGTTCATTTGATTTTAGTATTTGTTTTAGTTTATAGTTGAAATATTTGCAACAACGTGTTGTATAAGAAGGGGTTGCTTTACTATATATATAGTCTAAATATATTATAAGTTCTGTACACTTTGGCATAAAACTCTCCCTGTTTTCGCGAAAATTGGATAAAATTGTAATAGCTGTACACGGATTTACAAGTTCTGAACTATTTTCCAATGAGCGATTCCTTGCATGATTATTATAATCATCTGAACAGGTTGGAAATATATTCATAAAATTGAACTGTAAAGGAGTTATAATAAATATTAAAGATTAAAATATCATTGATGAAAAGGTATTTTTTCCTATGTTTATATACGTATCAATATTTTAAAATTAGTTATTGTAAATTTTAATTTATATTAATATTAGAAACATTCATTTGTTTTTGTAATTACTTCGGCAGACATTGTGCTATTTATGCAATCTATACAAAATAATGTTAATATTATTGTAATTATAAGTGTACATGAGTAAGCATATTATATTAAATACAATATATATATAAAATACACATGAATATACAATATATATATTGTAAAAAAAATTTTAATTTATATTTTTATTTAATTCTTCGTATATAATAGAATGTGATTTTATAACCGTTATACACAGACGAAGTAATAATCCATTTTATTAAATGATATGAAAGAAACATATAGAAATTTGAAATTATATAAAAATAAAAAATTATAGGAATAATATTTTGCATTATTTTTATACATATAATAATCATATAATAAATTATTTATTCAATATAATACTCTGGGAATATATATATTTATATAATGAATCCATTATACGATAATATATATATATCTTATTCTTGAATATGTATATTGAAAATAAGGTGATATTAATAATAAATGCACATTTTATCAAGCAAATATATAAATTTTCTTTTATAAATTTTGTATTTATATTTTCTTTTTTTTATCAAAATGTATATTTCTTGTAATTTTATAATGTATTCTAAAATTGAATTATATAGTTATATATAATAATCAATATGTACTATTTTAATAAAATAATATGTTTAACATAAAATATATTATTAATTATAAATTTACATATATGTTTAAGTTTTGGTGATAGAAAAACGAAAATAGCTTAATAGTTGTAATAAATGATACACATATTTCATATATTTTGATGGTTATTGTTTATTTATCTTTTTATTTTTTTTTAAAAAAAGCGTAGAATTACATTAGAAGGAATTATAGGGATAAATATGTTTTATTTATAAAGAGAATACAAAATACATGGTTACTATCTTATAATAATCATTATAATATATAGAAAATATAATATATACGTCATAGGTATACATATTATTGACAGTTTCTTTTAAAATATATTTTGATTTCAGATGGATTAATATAATATTCCTTCCAATTATATATGGATATAATTTAATATCTGGAATTATAAATTACAAATTATGTGAATACAATGTAAATATTCAAATAAAATTTCATTTTTTATATAAAATAATGTTATAAACTTAATGATAAAATAGCACAATATGAAATAAAATATTATTTTTAGAATATTAATAATATATTAACCATTTCTACTGGGTGTTAGTCAATGATATTTAAGCATAATAGGTGTTATATATATATATATTTTTCAATTAATTTAATAAAAGCAAATACAAAAGCTTTGCATTACATAATATTAATTTATTATATGTAATAATATAATGCGTAATATATGTACGTTTAAAAAAAAAAAAAATAATTTTTTTGAATGTATTATTAAAATTTAATGGTCCTTATACTATCATTTATTTCACAATTGTCCTTATATCCTTATATAAAAAATATTAATTTTTTTTGTTTATAA